AACTCAGAAGTATGAAGTTGTATTTACTTCCTTCCCCCAATTTTTCTCATTCATGTCCATCTGAAGAATGTAAGGTCGTTACTTTAGAACATTTTAAATTTTCCTAAATATTATATCATATAATTCTTCCTTTTTTTATTTCTTTTATTTTTATGTATTGGATTTGTAATCTTTTTTCCTGCAATGTTTAAAGTTAAGCGACACTAAATTTTGAGCATAAAAATTAACAGATTCTCCCCCCCCCAGTCTGGTTTGACATTTCAAAATACTATCTTGTTAGTATACATTTAGTTTAATATGTAGTAATAATGCAGCAATTATGGTTTGTAGAGCATAATAATGCAGCAATTATGATTTGTGGCGCATAGCTTAATGCAACGCAAATCCAGATGATTAGTCTGTTGTAATATGAACCAGTGTTTGCTGGATACCATTTTTTCATCCAAGGGAGATTTTTTTTAAAAATTATGAAATATAAATATGAATAATTTTTTGAGTTTTGTATTTTAAAGTGCATGCTCCAGTTAAAAAAAAAAGATTATACAAAGAAAGTAAAACAGACTAGGAAACAACCATTAATATTTGTGTGTATGTATTCATTCTTTCCCTCTATGTAACTGATTATAAATATCAAATTCTAAGTATGAAAAAGTTAAAACTTAAAGAACTTGAGAGTTGTTTGCAACAAGTTGATGTTTTTGAAAATCCAAAACTCCTGCTTGAACAATATCCAACTCAGCCACATATTGCAGGTAAATTTTACTCTTCTTTCTTGTCATGTATATAGTGTTGGTCTACTACACACATTCTAACAGCTAATTTTAAATGTTATCATTAAATTATATTTTCATTATGTAATATAATAATTCTGATTGTTTTATTCCAGGAATCTTAGAAGTTGGAAATTTAATATTCTGTTAAAGTTTAAGTGATAAAGTTTAATGAATGTCTAATAAGTTTATTTGTTAAATTCTTGATTGGATTCTCTCCTATACTTTTTCTACTTGTATAAATCAGTACTTGATGGAAAATTATAATGTGAGCTCAGTGGAATAACAAACATTGTTCTCAATCTAGATGTTTATATTTAAAAAGGAGGGCCTTTCCTTAGAAGCCTTGGCATTTCACTTCTGTGAGCCACTTGAGTTTGTTTTTTTGCCTTTTAAACATATTGTAGCCATCTTAGTAGATGTTATACTACATTACTGTTATAAAGTTTGCTGACATATTAATTTATGGATGAATAAAATAAAATGTTGCTTGAATGAGGAAATAGATCAGATGGCCTTTATTCATCCGTTTGTTTAGTATACTTTGTATTTGCTCTGAACCTGTGTCTTTATTTAAATGTGTCTTTATTCTCCAGCATGTATGCTTTATACCATTCATAATACATTTGATGATATTGAAAACAAGATTGTGGCAGATCTTGGATGTGGTTGTGGCATACTAAGCATTGGAAGTGCCATGTTGGGAGCAGGGTAAGAAATCTCATTTTCTTATTGCTTTTTTAATATTAAACTAATGAGGAAGGATAAGATGAGTAAGGATGAAAACCAGGGATACTTCAGAACAAAGAACGTCAAAACAAGGAGCCATATCATCTTTAAATAAGTCCATCTAAATGGTACTGGTAGCTTTATAAAGTGATTGTTGCATGTTTTAATGAGTCATGAGTAAAACTAATCAGAATCAGATTACTAGGAAATCCCTGGGCTGTAAACTAAACTACGAAGAAAATAAATAAATAAAGCAAAAGTAATGATAACCCACTACTACGTTGCCACTAAGAAAAGTTACATGATTATAGCAGTCAAATTGAATATTTGTCATTCAATCCAACTACAGGCAGTCCTTGCTTAGCAACTCATTGCTTAGTGACAATTCGAAGTTAGGACAAATCTCCCTGAGTTACTTACAACCTAGTTCCAGAGTTCTCATGGCCATATGCAAACAAACATCTGCATCGAATGATATTTTGGGTGCTTGACAACTGGATTGCATTGAGGGTCATTTGCACCATGCCAGTCTCACAACTGCATTTTTTAGTAGTTTTTGCTGTTTTCTTATATTTATTTCTGGGTTTTGGCAAAAAAAACTCCCATTGAATAAACCAGTGGCATTTGCTTAACAACTTAAGACTGTGAAATCAGGCATAGTCACATGCCTGTGCCTGATTTCACACTTTACACAGTGACATCACACTTCAATTAATTACAAGTATAATTTTGATCACAAGTCAAGGACTACCTGCACTGTAAATACAGATTTATTAGACACATTTCTAATTAACAATGAAATATAGTTACTCATATTATTTTAAAGATAATGTGCACCTAAAACATATTGCTAGGCTAGTGGTAAATTAGTACTTAGTTTACGTATGAGTAAACTGTATCAGAGATTTTATAGGATACATACTCCATAGTTCAAACTTTTATGTCTGCTATTGAAGTAGCATCACATGAAAAGTCATCCAAATATGAAATCACATTGACTAATTGTTCAAAATTAACTGACATTTAGAAATCTAAGTTTTTAACAAAACAAAAAAAAAACAAAATCACAACAGACTATTAAAATTAATCTTAAAATGGATGTTGAACAACAGGAGTTGAGATGTTTTAAAAGTAATATGTGCTGCTATAATTCTCTTAATTTTATTTTCTCTAGATTATGTATAGGATTTGATATAGATGCCAATGCACTGGAAGTATTTAACAGGAATGCCGAAGAATTTGACCTTACAAATGTTGACATGGTTCAGTGCAATGTATGTTCTTTGCCTGACAAAATGTCTAAAACATTTGATACAGTTATTATGAATCCTCCTTTTGGAACTAAGCACAACAAAGGTTAGCCATTTTTTTCCTTGATTGGGAATTAACTTCCTGAAAAAGCTATCGAATTTTATTTATTTTACAGAATTTCCATACTGCCAGAGTGAACAAAAACTTCCTTTTCTCTTAGCTGCCATTGATGTCTTTCCCTCAGACATAATATAAAGAAACATTCTTCATCCTCACCTTAAAACCTTTGTGCTGGATTTGTTACATTCTGTGGTTCATAGTAAGGTTAATTTATATCTTATCCCTATAATTTCTTTTAGACTGTGTTCCACCAATCATCCATAAATTCAATTCCTTTATGTCCCTACTTTTATCTGACTTAAAACAAGTATAGCTTAGAAATAGCTTCCATTTTATAAACATATTTCTACCATTATGTAACATGATTTTCAAATCATGCAATTGCAAGACATTTCTGATATAAGAATATGATTTTACTGGAATTTTTCTTGAAAAAAAAAATGAACAGAAGTATCTTTTTCCCAGTCTGACAAATTTTACGACTGCATTCTGTTCTATATTTAAGGTAAAAACATTTGATATTTTAGCGTATACTAGATAATTATTTAACCAATTATGTATTTATGAAGTATATTTATTTGTGAGATAATCAAAAATATCTGACAGAAATCAAACCTTAATCTCCAATGTTAGAACTTTAATTCAATATAAGAAATAATTGAAGCAACATACCTAAACAAAGATGATTACATAACAGCTGAATTTTTTAAAGTGATTAAACCTTAAAACATGCTAATCAGGAATGTTTAAAAATAAAATTCAATTTGCTGTCTGTTGAGAATAGGGTAAGTACTGAATATTTAATACAGATAGTCCTTGATATACAACAGTTCATTTAGTGACTGCTTGAAGTTACAACATTGAAAATAGTATGACAGTTTTTCACTTACTACTGAGATATTAGAAATTCAGGAGAAATAACAACTGTGTGACTGAGTAAAAGTCTTTAATTTTTTTTATTTTTATAGGCATGGATATGGCTTTTCTCAAGACAGCTGTGCAAATGGCAAGAATAGCTGTGTATTCCTTACACAAAACATCAACTCGACAAGTACGTCTAAAGTTTGTCCTAATGCTCATCCTTGAAGATTAGAAATTTAGGGTGTTCTAGAATTATAAGATGCTGAAATCAGGTAACCTGGAATAGCTTAAGACATTTTATTAACAGCATATTCAAGATATATTACAATTAAATTTTGTATAATACTTTACAGTTTGTCCATAATCTAGATGTTTAGTTTCCAGTGGCGAGAGAGGGAGAGATCAAAATCAAGAGATCCTCTAATATCTTGCATTCCTTCCATGCTCAGCATATTCAGAAAAAAGCAGATGAATGGAATATAGGAATGGAAGTTGTAGCAGGTAAGAACAAGTTGTTATTGTTAAATTCAGTTTAAAGGCACACAAAGTTCCCATTAAATATTAAGACTATCTTTATATAGGATACCAAATACCTTTATAGCATGATAAAACATGTTTTATTTACTTTTAATCATTTTATTCTATTGTTTCATAGCAGTTTCCTTTGTGCTTTTTTAAATATGCAAATCCAAAACTATTGTGAAAATAATTTTATAATGGTATCTTAAATATAGGTATTTGCATTATAGAAGTTAATCTAATTGAACTGTTGCTACTCAACCAGACACAAGAGTTTTATGTAATCATAAGTATTATGAATACATAAACGCAGTATCAGATATTCAGATCATATATACATGCATTAACAGTTTCCAGCTAATATATTTCATCCTTTCTCAAATATATTTATGATTTTCCATTACAACTTATATTCTTTTTAATTCACTTTTAGAACTGAGATATGACCTACCAGCATCATATAAATTCCACAAGAAAAAATCAGTAAGTATTAGGCCACTTTTAATTAAGAGTAAGCCTATTATTTTTTTGCTAAATAACAGAGTTGTACGCTAATGATTGTAGACAAAAATGCTTCCGTTTTAATGTGTCTATATACATATAACCTAGCAGCAAAAACAAAATTGACGATCTAAGCAAAAGGCAGAAGAAACGTACTATTTACTTTCTAGAACCATAGGAGTCCTTTATCCTAGTCAACAATATGGAACCTATTTTACTACATACACCAATTCATTCTTCTCTTGCTCTTCAAAGGATTGCTGATGCAATCAAATGTGTGGCACCTAATCTTTCAGTGACAGATTGATGTGTTGTATGATAGATAAGGAAGACATACAAGTGAGAATTCCTACCCAGAAAAGATTGACATTATCATGATGTTTTATCAGAGAAAATAAAACCAACAATACTAACCTTGTAAAAGGAATGCAAAGCTGGGATGCTTAATAACAAATGTTAGGAGAATCATGCAAATTTCCCTGTGGTAAAATCACTGCCAATCCATATGGATGGCAGAATTATTAGAAGGCAGTATTATGTTTTATTTGCATAGGCATTCACTCTTGAAAGAATCTGGCATTACTGATTTAAGTTAGACTGTGCCAAACCAGTTCACATAAATAAAAGAGTATAAAATTCTGTGTTTGGGGCCATGCAGGATTTTATTATGGGTACATAAAGTAAAAAAGATTCTTTGGAATGTGCAGGAAAGCATATTTAGCACATGTCTAAAACTCCTTAAGTCAAAACTCACATTTTCTTGGGATCTTGTGCTAAGCAACTGCGTGATCACAGGAAAACCTACATATTAAGCATTTGCAGACGGGTATAAACTGAGCATCTGTAGAACCCCCAAATTCATTTTGCCTTCAAATTGAAAGGCCTATGCAATCTCTCTGTTTTGCACACATTCCATTCTACCTGCAATCTCAAGTAGCTATTAACTATTTAGCTAACAACAGTGAACAAGCAAAAAAAAAGTATTTCTAGAGTCTTCCACAGTAGTACCAGGAAGAGTATAAGATAGGAAGCATCCTATAGCTGTTCTGTTTTAATTTGCTTTTTGTCTATCACAAGTAGAATAGTTGGGAAGAAGAAGAACAGGAATAATATGGATCTAGCTATTTGGTTAAGACAAGTTCAGCCCACAAATCCAAGAAAATGGATCACAACTATAAGCTCTCAAATTAGCACATTTACTTGTGAAGGGTGCACATGTTAGAAATTAAAACTAAATGGGATTTTCCGCATGTAGAGAAGCATAGACTCGATGGACAACTTTTGTTCATAATACAATACTATTTTTAGAGTCTCTGAAATAAAAGTTGTTATGGGCAGGGTGCATTTTATGGTTGGCTTTACTAGATCAATTCCCTTGTTCCTTCATCATATAATGTAATCTATATTGGATTTTTCTATATGAAGAGCAGAAGCTACATTTGGACACTTTTGCACTAAAACCTAAAGCAACATCTGTTTATTGGGGTACACACTTTCTGTCATTGTCATACAAAGAAAAGTATTCTATTTTGAGAAAATTCTATTGCAACACAAGACAAGTACAAAATTGGAGCTAGGTGCTCATGGTAACGCTACATAGTTGCTTTATTTTATTTATAGATTTTTTTTCTTCCAATAAAGGTAGCAATACAATTTGAAACATCTGGAACTGAACACAAAGATTCACAAAATTTGAATACACAAGATACTGATACTTATTTGTTATATGCTACTCAAGAAAAGTTTTGTACATAACATATTAGGATATAGTTCTGATTCTTCAGCCTTTTCTTTCAGCCCAATTACAGGCTCACTCATCAGATATTTTTAAACACCGCGTGTTAAATCAGCCACTATTCCAAGAGAGAATTCTCAAAATGTAATTTTCTTCTTTGTCTTACAGGTAGACATCAAAGTAGATTTTATCAGATTCCCTTGTGGGGGAAAAGAGATGGATGGTGGAATGACTTAAAACTGTATTAAAATAATAAAAATAGCATTAAATGGTTTTTGAAGTATTACAACTGAATTCCAGCACCATTTTCTGTTTTTAGCTGTTTGGCAGCTGGCTCTTCTTGCACGTCTTCTTCAAGCGGTCTTTTCTTGGGACTTGCTGACTCTGTAAAATTGAGATTTTAGTCATGGTGGGCCACAACAATCACAATCAGACCTACGGTAATAAGTCAAGTGATAGCAAGCTGATTGATATTGTTTTATATATTACGTGACGCCATAGTCAATTTAATTTGGTCTCTTTTTCAGAACAGGTTACAAAACTGCTTAAATTAACAAATCTGAGAGTACCACTAAGGAATAGACACTCCAATCTCATGCTATGTGGGGAATCTACCCATGGATGTGAAACCTTGCTTTCCAGTCTGATTCATCATTTATGCAGAATCATTTATGCAAAAGAGCCGAGGTGGCACAGTGATTAGGGTACAGTACTGCAGCCACTTCAGCTGACTGCTAGTTCTGCAGCTCGGCGGTTCAAATCTCAC